CTGAAGCAAAGCACTAACCTATTTTACCATATGCATAGCTGATGCTAACGAATAAATGAGAGCAAATTAAGCTAGAACATGAGCACATGAACACTAAAGGGAATGTGAAGCATGTAAAACTCGCTGCATTCAAGAGGCTCAGAAGGTGAGTTTCAATCCCTAGAGCTGTAATAAAAGGCCAGGAAACATCATTATTAAATGCTAAGCCAAACTTTTGTTTTAAGGAATGGCTTAGACCCAGGCAGGAATTCAGAGCCCAAACAGCAAGCCAGAGAAAAAGTCAGGTGGCCCAGGACAGGGTGAATTACCCTGGTCTCCCGAGAAGAGGTTGCTATTAGAATACTCAGGAACAACTAACCTAAGAGGGTGCAATATTATATCATGGCAGTGGGAAAGCCAAGGGGAGCTAGGAAGTTAAGCTGAATTCTTCAAGTCTGCCAATATGCAAAATCCCAAATGTGCAGGCTTTTTTGGCACTTTGTTTTAGGAATCATGAGAGTGTGTGCTATTTTAAAGCCTGTCTAATGTGTGTGTAACAGTGCAGATATTTGTTTGGAGGGTGATGACTTTTTTCAGTCTTGCAAACGTAGCTGCCTGTGATGGTGATGGGCATGATGCCAAACTCTAAATAAGAATTTAAATAAATAATAAGACTCGGATATCAAAGTAGCCCAGGGGCGATAAACAAACACAGAATTTCAATGGAAGCATACGGCCCAAATTCCCTTGCCTTCTTTAAACAGTTCAGCTTAAGCCATAATTTCTAACCTGCTCTTGCACCTAATAGCTGAAATGTTGGGTTTTTTAATTCACAATTGAAATCGTTAGCTCTGCCCCCACTCCCAATCTTGCCCCTTCCACACACTCCAGCAGCACCCCCAACACTCAAGCCAAGCATATGGACAACAGACCTTACCAATTTTTTAACACAAGAGTTGTTATCAGAGCAGCTATGACCATGATGAGAGACACTGTGATGGTGATAATCTGATGGACTGCCAGACCTGTGAAGAAAAACCAAAAGAGAGTAGCAATAGGAAGCAGAAGGGATCCAGGAGAACAATGAGCCAAAACCCCACCTGCAACCAAATTACTCAGTAGAACCTTGGAGCTGCACCCATGGCACATCTTCACCGTCCCGGGAGGCAGAGGCAGAGCAAGCAACAGGCAGGGCTTTAATTCCACATTAGGACTGCCAGGATGACATCAGGATTCAAACACTGAGATGGTGGATATTGTTGCTGCCCCCAAAAATGGCTGTGTAACTCTGTACCTTGCAGTCTGCCCCCGTATGAGCCTGCCCCTGCCATGTTATCCCAGACATACCCAGAAGGCTCCCATTTCTGATTCAACCAAGCTTACTGCTTGGGAAGATCTTTATACCTTCTAACCTTAGAGTTTGAAGGTTCCTTCTGTTGCTTCTGCACTTTCCTGCCAACAAGCCCTTGGGGCTCTGCCTGTTGCTTCTTCATCACCCACCTCTTCTCCCCTTGCTCCTAGTAGCCAGCAAATTTATGCTTCACTTTTCAGTCTCCTTTGATTTTGGGGCCTCTCTGATCCGCTCTTTGGGGTTGCCCTTGCCCTGCCAAAGTGATTGTGTCTGGTTGCTCCCTGTTACAGCACTGCAGACAGGCCTAGCTTTCTGGGCTCGGGACAGACATACAAAAAACCTGAGCCTGAATTGATTCATTCTTTGCAGGTTAGTCTAACCTGGCTAGGCTAAATCAGTTTTGTAACCAGACAGACATCTCAGACATGCAGGCACATGCCTGCAGTGGCTCAGGCTAGAAGCTGGGGGGGCTAGAGCAGCCCTCTCTTCCTTTGTACAGGGCTGAGCTGAAGGGGGCGTGGCCAGGGAGGGGTCTCCCTCCTTGATAACAGAGCATTTATCAGTTCTGTTATCAGCATTTAACACCCCATCAGAAAACAAAATCTTGCTCATTACAAGCTTTTCATAAACAGCTTTTTTCCAAAGGAAGGAATGCAGGGACATTACCATATGAGCTGCTGATTACCTCCAAAAAGCCCTAAGTGGACACTGTCCTATCTGCCTTACACAGCATTAGCTAGCATACCATACGCTGGCTACAGTCTGTGCTGTGGGAGAGAGGAGGAAGGGATCTCTGCTTAAGCAGTGAGTGGTGAGAGAGGAGGAGGGGGGCACGGGGAAGCCAGCAGACCCTCCTGTGCCTTCAGGTGTCTACTAGAGCTCTGCCCAGGAAGCAGAGGGGAGGGGCCAGCTCTGCCATGGAGCAGAGAGCCCCACCCAGTCCAGAGAGCATACTGTAATGCTGAGGATGTCTGATTTAGCTTAAACCAACAAAAGGTCTGGGGCAGACATTGCATAAACCAGTTTGAGCCAAATCAGTTAAGTCTGATACTACATTCAGCTAGGTTTATCTCAAACTGGTTGCAGCCATTTTCAGACTGGTCTATGTACACTGAACATTTGTCCTATTACAGGTTTAAACCAGTTTCTGATCACTAAAAATGGCTTATGTGTAATGTCTGTCCCTAGGGGCTCACACCATGTAGCACCCCATATTCCTGGTTTGGTATGAACCCAGCCATAGGCCTCCATGGAGGCTCTCCAGCATGAAGAGGCTGTGCCAACATATCACCCTTTGTCACTGGGCATCCCCATGCAAGTCACACCAGCTAGACTGACAGGCTGCCTTCCACAGCAGGGAGAGAGCATGGGAAAATCACTTTCTTCCTAGAAACTCCACTGCATCTCAGCATTTCTGGGCTTAGCCTGGGCTGGAAAGCATAAGGCATCAGTCCTCTTCCAGCTCCCCCAAGGATAACGAGGGACATCAAAGGCCTCACAAAGGACAAGGCAATGCAAACTTCTTCCACCCTAGCCAAAACCATGTAAGAATGCAGTGCACCTCATTTCTCTTCATCTCAGCCTCACAGAGAAGTACCCACTGTTAGGGTGGGTTTGAGGACATGATACCTTTCCAGTATAAAACAGACACACACAGCCTCCCAGATCATTTCACTTGGGGTCAGTGAGCAGCCAGGAGACAGGAGGGACTCGGTTCTCCATCTTGCATTATAGAAAATAATCTTTAAACCAGGCTTCTCATTTTCTATCCTCTCAACTCTGTTCCTTGTCAGTCTGAATTAGGCATGAAGCACTGAAGAAATGTAAAGACAGATATCTCTGGAGGGAAAAGGAAACTTCTGCACAATCTTGTGGTGGGAGCAGGATTAGCTATACATAATAATTACAGCACTAAGTGCTATCACTTAGAAGGTCGGACAGGCTCATTTTCTTTTAATTCACCTTTCACGGGCTATAATTTTGGCTTGTGCATCATTCCTAATGAATAGTTTGGAAACAAAAGCATCTCCATGTACAGTATGTTTGTGGTTTTGAACTGCATTACAGTTGCAATTTTGTAATGAAATGATTTTGCTGGCTGCAGCCCAAGGATGTGTTGGGTTGTTTTTTTTTTACAAACAGATGTGAGAGCTCTAAGAGTATCACTCGGGTAAAAGATGTTTTTAATAAATAAATAAATGTTAGCATGACAGTGAAATGAGTGTGTGTGTGTACATAGAGGTCCCATATTTGTATGTTCCCCATTTGTTTTCTTGACTTGAAAGAAATTGCACCATTTCAAAAAATGGCCCCAAGGGAGTCTCAAGCTCTTCCCTGAGGGTAACTATTATGGCTGTGCAAAGCTTCAGTCCCTAATTTGATTCAGCGGAGATTCAGCCCAATTCAGTGGCTGAATCTCCAAATGTGAATCAAATCAGAGGACCCTTTCATCTCTCTGAATCTAATCGGAACCCTCTGAATCGATTTGGAAAGATTCGGACATAGACGCAGCTTTAAAAGTTTTTTCTACATACCTTGAGGTAGCAGGCGTGGCTCATAATCGCTGAGATGATGGGGCACATGGAGCATCCCACAGGAGTGTGGGGGTGGGGGGACCCTTCATGTGCTTGGCGGTGAACCCAGAAGTGGACTGGAAGTACTTCCAGTCCACTTCTGGGTCCACTGGGGAACATGCAGGCCCCCCCCCACATGCCCCCAGATCAGTAACTGGGGCCTCCTGGGTCTGGAGGGAGGGGGAGGGCACTCAGGGTCCCCCTGCGGGCAATCGCCAAGCTGTGGAGGCATGGGGGGGAACCCCAGTGTGCTCCCCGACAGACCTGGAAGTGAACTGGAAGTACTTCCAGTCAACTTCTGGGTTCACCGCTGAGCACATGAAGCCCCCCCACCCCCACGCCACACTCCTGTGGGACACTCTATGTGCCCCACCATTGCAGCAATCAAGAGCTGCGCCTGCTACCTCAAGGTATGTAGAAAAAACTTTTAAAGCTGTGTCTATGTCTGAATCACTGATTCTCCAAATCAGCATCAAATCTTCAGATTTGGATTCAGCTGAATCGAATCAGGGACAGTGATCTGAATCAACGAACTGGATCATTGTCCCTGATTCAGGCTGAATCCGAATCAAATAGGCTTCTCTTTGCACGTGCCTAGTAACTATCACTTCCAAAGAGAAGATCTAATGCCACAGGGCTGTTTCCTGACTGGCAGGAACTGTGGCAACTCCTGCAGAAGTCACTGAGAGAGCTGTGATAATTTTCTCCAGTTTGAGGACTTGCCTCCAATGCATCCTTTGTTAGACTGAACTGATTTACTGATGCAAAATTTCCTGTAGCCTCAGCATTTCCAAGCATGCTGTGACAGAGGCAGGCCAGCCCAGTAGTTTGGAAAGAGATATTAACTGGAAGGGGAGATATTGACTGATATTCCTGTGACTGGTGACGCCACCTAGGAATGATGCCTGATGCTAGTCTGTAGTCCAGCCTCACACCTCAGTACTAGGGCTGTCCGAAGCTTTGGGTGCTGATTCGATTTGGAGGAGATTTGGCCCAATTCAGTGGCTGAATCTCCAAATCCAAATCAAATTAGGGGGCCAATTAAAAGTTCTGAATCAATTCAAAACTCTCCAAATCAATTCAGAAAAGATTCGGAGCACTTCGGTGATTCGGGCAGTCCCCACCTGCTGCAGCAGGGAGCTGGACCCGGACTCCAAGCTGGTAAGTAGGGGCCAGGGAGAGGGGGCTGAAGGAAGGGGGAGACCATGAGGACCTCCACCAGGCCCCATCCCCTGCGTGCTCCCCCATCCCCACCTCAATTCAAAACTCTCCAAATCAATTCAGAAAAGATTCGGAGCACTTCGGTGATTCGGGCAGTCCCCACCTGCTGCAGCAGGGAGCTGGACCCGGACTCCAAGCTGGTAAGTAGGGGCCAGGGAGAGGGGGCTGAAGGAAGGGGGAGACCATGAGGACCTCCACCAGGCCCCATCCCCTGCGTGCTCCCCCATCCCCACCCCCCCCATGGCTGCCCTGCCTGCTGCAGCTCCCGGTGCTTTAAAAAAAAGCTCCCACTCACTGGATGCTGCTGGGCAGGGGGGCAATCCCCACTGCCTCCCACCACCCCATGCTGCATCAGGGGCTCTGCATGAGCCCCCTGACCTCTGCGCACTTTCACAGCGCCCCCATGGCTGCACTTCACACCTCAGCTCTGGCCCTTTAAGAAAAAAAATACAAAAACCCACCCCCCATGCTCACTGGCTCCTGCAGTGGCCTTGGGGCTTCTGGGGCTTGTGCAGAGCCCCCCACATGGGGTGGGGCAATGGAGGGCAGCGGGGGCCCCCCCCCCCCCACCTGGCAGCAGCCAGTGAATTCAGGGGTTTTTTGTTTTTTAAAGGGCCAGAGCTGGGGTGGCAGGGCTGCCATGGGGGCACTGGGAGAGCAGGGGAGGGTCAGGGGACTTGTGACAGAGTCCCATATGCAGCATGGGGCAGTGGGGGGCAGTGGGGGGCAGTGGGGATCCCCCCCACTGGGCAGCAGCTGGTGAGTTAAGGCTTTTTTTTCAAAGAACCAGGAGCTGGGGCGGGCAGGGCAGCCATTGCGAGCAAGCGGGGGATGGGGTCTATGTGATTCAGCTGATTCAGCTGCAGCCAAATCTCCGAAT